CTCGGGGTGCCCGCCCAGAGCCTCCCCGGCCCCTCCGGCAGCCCCCACTGGCACACGGGCTCACGGCTTCCTCCAGCTATCACTTACAGGGGAAATGTCCCCGTGGGCTGAAAATAGCCCAGCAGAGCCCTGCTATTCCTGCAGAGCCCAGGGAACAGGCAATTCCATGAATGATCTGGTCACCCCGACCTGCTGCCGAGCTGAGGTTTTGACACCCCGGGTCGGTGAGTGGGACATGGTGGGAATGTGGAAAGAGTGTTTTCCCTGGGCACAGCACAGCCCTCCCAGACCAGTGCCACCTCACAGAGACCTGCTGGTGTCCCTGTGCCATCAAGGCCATGCACAGGTGAGCCTTCTTGCTCAACTGAGGCAAAGGTGGCTGATGGAGAGGGTGTCCCAGCACAGCCAACCTGCCCAACATCTGCTTTGGTTTGTTCAACCAAACAGCTTGGGAGTGAGATGGGGCACCCACAGGGACCAGGGTCTCCTCCAGGTGTGGCACCAGGGGTGTGACAGGGATGCAGGCGGCACAAGCACCCAAAATCCATGGGTGCCTAATGCACCCCAAGCCCCTTGTCTCACTGCAGCCACCCAACGCCAGTGGTGTCCATGGCTGTGCCAGCGCTGGGGAGTGGAGTGAGTCCAGGGGGGTGTCACTGGGACACGGCTGTCCCCACCTCTGGGGACGCTGGTTATCATGGGCAGCATTGGCCTGGGATGGTCAGGGGGGGGGTTCTCCATGGGTACTGTGCCTGGGTCCCACAGTCCCACTCCCGAGATGTTCTGTCCTGGGAGGTGGGGCCCACCGTGAAGTGACACATTCCAGATGGTGGAGGACACCCCAAGGTGACACATTCCATGAGATGGCATATACCCCAAGGTGACATGTCCTGGGTGATAGGGAACAGCCCAAGATGCCATGAGGATGTGGTGATGGAGCTCATCCCGAGGTGACCCGGCTGATGAGGCTGAGGCAGGATGAGGACCAGGCTGATGAGGCTGAGGCGGGATGAGGACCCCCAGGGTGATGGCCCATGCTTGCTGTCTGTGCAGCCCCACAGTGCCTTGCAGGAGGACACCTTCATGCCACGGCTTTCCCCAATCCCCCTCCCAGCTTGAAGGTGGTGATGGCATTGCCATCCCACTCAAATCTGTGCTGGCTGTGGGGCCAAAGGCTCCCCAGGGCAAAGCTGCCAAGCGTGGTGTCTGGGCACTGCCCTGCCAGCATCCATGTGGCCCATTCCCAGTGGCCACAGGGGTCACCCGGCCTGGGATGGCCGAGCTCTGCCCGAGGTGTGAGTGCAGGAGGAGGAGACCTTCCTGCAGGCAGGAGTGGATGGAGCAGTGGGTGAGTGCCCTCAGCACGAGCCACCTGCAGTGGGTGCTCGTCCCTGCTGGGGCTTCTGGCCATACTGGGGAGCTTTGCCAGCCCTGGCCACATGGGCCAAGGGTCATTTTGACTGGGACTGTAGGAGCGCAGGCACAGGGCAGTTCCCACACCTGGCCTCTGGGAATGGTGACAGGGTCCAAGTGGCCCCAGGCATCACTAAATCCCGAGGACCACGCCTTGCCATGACACCTCAATGAAGGCCTTGGTTCCCCATTGGACTCCCCCACCCTTCTCTTCACCAAACAGGGGATGAATGGAAAGACATGGCTTAGAAACAGAAGAAACATCCCCCACAAGCCACTTCCTGCACCCCAAAGGACCTGGGTCCAAGAGCCTGGCTTGGCGCCAAAGGAAAAACAAAACTCATCCTGCAGATCCCACCAGTCCCTGTGGAGCAGAACCATGGGCAGGTGCCACTGCTTACAGCTTTTTTCCAAACCTACAGGATCAGAATAAATGATGGGACCTCACAATAAGCAGGAGATGCCAAGTGTGGGGACTTGGGGGGCTTCAGCCACCCCTTGGGGACCCCAGGGGCCTCCTTTGAGAGGGCCATGCCAGCCTCCATGCCAGCCTCAGCACAACCAAGACCTGGGCTGGTGGTCACCCACCATGGTGACAGCCCCCAGATGTCCCACAGGGCCACCAGCCCAGCCAGAGGTGCCACCTGCCACCAGCTATGCCCACAGAGGTCCTTTCCAACCCCCACCCACAGGCCTGACCGGTGGCCCCATGGAGGTCACCCCAGCACTGTCGGGGTGTGTCACTGGCCCCCAAGCCCATTCATTCCCAAGAATGGCCCAAGATGCCCTTAAAAGGCCAGAACTCGGCGGGGCGGGGGGTGCCGGGTGCTGGAAGGCGGCAGCTGCGGGTGCTCGAGCGCGGGGCTGCGGCGGCGCGGGGCGGGGGGGGCGGCCGGGGGGGCTGCAGGGAGCGCAGTGTCCCCTTACACGGCTGTTTCCATACATAGCCGCCCCCCTCTCCCGGCTGCGCGGCCGCCGGAGCCCGGCCAGGCAGAGAACCAGCCCAAATTAACTCAAGGGCAAGCAAGGGTACCGGCGATGCCGCCCCACCACGCGGCCCCAGGGACACCCGGCCGCGGATCGGGGTGCTGAGCGGGGATGGGACAGCCCGGGGAAGGGGGGCCGGGGTCATCAGAGATCCCCAGAGCCCTGAAAGCCCCCCCCCAAGTCCTCACAGTCCAAAATCAAGCCACCATGGCACCCACAGGTGACACTGCCCCCAGGGCATGGTAGCAGCAGCACAGCCCGTGCGCCCACCTTGACTCCATAGGAGGGACCCCAGTCTGCACCCCCCGCCATCCCCTCCTGTCCCTGGCCCCCCAGCACGTTTTGGGGTGACTCTGCAGCCCTGGCAGAGCTGCCAGGGAGCCCAACCGGCTGTACCCCTGCCGCCCTGCCCTGCTCCCAGCACTTGGGGACAGGCTGAGCTCACCGGGCACCCCAGAGCCTCATCTGCACCCTCAGCCCCACAGGCACCCACAGTTCTACCTGGACCTGCAGCCCCACAGGTACCTGCAACCCTGCAGGGCACCCACAGACCTGCACAGGCACCTGCAGCCCTGTGGGGACCCCACAGCCTCCTTGGGGACCCCCAGCTCCATGGGCACCTGCAGCCTCATAGACCCACAGCTCCATGGGATCAAACATCCCTATGGGGACCCACAGCCCTGTGAGGACCTCATAGCCCTGCAGGAACTCACAGTCCCATTGGGACCCACAGCCCCATGGGATCCCCACAGACACCAACAGCCCCATGGGGACCCTACAGCCCCACAGGCACCCACAGCCCTGCAGGGACCCTCAGCCCCATGGAGTCCCCACAGCCCCATGAGGACCCCACAACCCCATGAGTTCCCCAAAGCCCCATGGGGTGCCCACAGCTCCAAGGGCAGCCACAGCCCCACGGGGACCCCATAACTGCATGGGCACCCACAGCTCCATGGGGACCCCATAACCCCACGGGCACCCAGAGCCCCACAGGTCCCCACAGCCCCGTGGGGTCTCCGCAGTCCCACGGGGTCTCCGCAGCCCCAAGGGCACCTGCAGCCCTGTGGGGACCCCATAGCCCTGCCAGCTCCCACAGCCCCAGGGGCACCCCCAGCCCCCGGGGGTGCCCCCAGCCCCCAGCAGCCCCCCAGGCCGGTGTGTGGCTGTACCTGCGGTGCTGAGGAGCAGGAGCGAGGCCACGCAGCAGCAGAGCAGGTTGAGACCCTTCATGGTGGCTGCCAGGAGCTCCCTGACGCTCGCTGCCTCTATTTATACGGCGTCGGCGCGGGGCAGGGCAGGCAGGGCAGGCAGGGCAGGCAGCTGCCCGCACAGATGCTGCCGCTGCCGTTCTTCCGCTCCCAGGGGCCCTCCCTGGGAATGGGGACAGGGACGGGGATGGGGCACAGGGGCAGGACTGCAGCGCTGGGAATGGCTCATGTCGGGGATGCGATGGCACAGGACACCTCCTGGCGTGGGGTCCCTGGGGTGGCACTGCCCATGTGGGGTCACTGTCCCTGTCACAGTGTCCTGCTGGCGTGGTGTAGCGGAGCTCCTTGGGCTGCCTCAGCTCCCGCAGCCCCTTTTGGGCTGGAGCAGGATTTATGGAAGGGAAGTGCTGAGCAGCACAGCACTGCAGTGTCCCCGAAGGGGGGTGTCCCCAAGCACCTCGTCCTGGGCTGATTTGATGTCCCCTCAAGCCACCACAGGTCACAACTCCAGGTGATGCCACACACCCCATAGGCAAGGCATGTCCCTTCCACCCTGACAGTGCCCCCACTGTCACTGGCACTGTGCTGGCAGCGTGGCATGGTGGGCAGTGTCCCCTCCCCACAGCCAGAGGCACAGGGTCACCCTCGCTTGTAGGGAAAAGCCACCCAGTGTGTCCCCAAAGTCTGGCTGTAGCAGAGGGGCCACTGGGCTCCATCACTGCAGGAGCCACGTCTGGGGGGCTGTGACCCAGCTTTTCCTCGGGGAAGAGGCCGAGTGTGGGAGCAGAGGGAGCCCCTGACCCTGAGATGGGGGTGGGAGGGAGGGGGTGATGGTAGGGAGCAGGTAAGACCTAGCCCTTAGCTGGACACCATGGATGGCCACAGCATGGAGGGGGAGTGGGAGAGACCCACAGCTATGGGGGGATGCAGAGAGGTGGGAAAAAGGGGTGCCCCCCCAAAAAAAAAGCCACAGAGAGAGATGGGTACCTCCCACATCCTAGTACAGGGACACCAGAGGTACCATCCCTGAGTCAGGGGGAACACCGACCCCACCCCAGCTGTGTGGCCTTATTAAAACCAGCCCCAGCCCTTCCCACCATCTCAGCAGTGAGCTGAGCCCTGAGGTGCTCGTCACACATGTGGGCAGCTCTGGCAGGGCTGAGCCTTTAAATTTAGCCCAGCTGCTCAGCGGGAAACCTCGCCAGGGGCGGCATCCTCTGCCTCTTGCCTGTGATTCCCAAGGCAGGCAACGCTCCCCTGCCCTCCCCACCCTTCCTCCCCTGGAGAGACCAGTGTCCACGAAGGTGGGATCCATCCCTGTCCTGTCCCCAGCCCTGCCACAAACGTTAACACCGGGACCGAGCTTCTAAAAAACCAAGTACAAACTTTATTTTGTTTCTTTACAAAGGCACGAGCCTCTTTTTTTTTTTCAACTTTCTTAACAAAATAGAATAGCTTCTCAATCAACACAAAGACCTGAAAATTGTAAAAAAAATACAAAAAAACCCAAAACAAAACAAAACAAAAAAAAAAAAAAAAAGGGGGAAAGGAACCGAGAAACAGCTGCGGCTGGGGGGGAACTTACCAAATACCACCGAGGCTCTACACACGACTGGCCTAAAACCCTACAGCCGGGGAGGGGGGAGGCGGGGCGAGGGGGGGATCCACAAAACAGGGGCCCCCCCACCCCCCACGACAGACCCAAGCGACACAATCACGAAATAGAAAAGCTCTTCGGAGCTGATGGACCCCACAAACTGGATTAAGTGCTTAAAGGAGGGATGGGAGCAGAGTTGGGGGACAGGGATGGATACGGGCATAGGGGTGGGGTTGGAAAAATCAGCCCCCACCCCGCCATACCCGTGCCAAGGAAATGAGGGTTGGAAATACCAGGGAGGGGTGGCACGTGCCGACCTTCCTGCCTGTGCTCCAATGGCATCATCCTGGGATTATTTTACTATCCAAAGGGGTTTTTCCTGCCCCACGTGGAGTGCAGGAGCCATGGTGGGGCTGGTCGTACCCTGAAGCCAGGGGTCCCTGTCCCACCTTTGCTGCCGTGCCACTTGGCATCTCCCCCCTGCTTAAAAAACGAACATTTAATTAAACAAAAAAACAAAAAAAAACACAAAAGAGAAGGAAAAAACCAAATTAAGATCCCAACCAAAGGCCCTGTCCCAAGGGAACGCCATCAGGAACAGCGGGGCTGCTGCTGGCTTGGCAGGATTCCCTGTGGGTTGGCAGGTGGGGGGAGTGATAAAAAAAGGGTGGGGAGCTGTGACTCCCATCCCAAACGCCCCCCCCCTCCATGCCCCAAGCCCCCTGCATCCCACTGTGGCCGCCCCCCGGGAGCTGAAGGGTGACCTTTGCCTGCCTCTGGCGCTCTGCTTTACAGTATTGGAAAAAGGTCATAAAAGAGACCCAAATCGCGTTGTATTTTTTAAAAATTTCAGCATATTCTCTGACATTTCCCCCCCCGCCCTGGCTCCCCTCCTTGGCTGCCGGCTGGGGGGTGTCAGGGCAGCTCCCCATCCCCCGAGGGCTCTTCTTTGCTCTGGTCCATGGAGTCACTGTCGTTGCCCTCGGTGTCGGAGGCGGTGTCGGAGGCGGAGGGCTCGGGGCAGGCGCGCACCGGCGTCACGATGACGGCGCGTCTCTGCTCCTCTTCCTGCAGCTGCTTCTCTTGCGTCCCCTCGATGTGCTGGATCGCCTGCCGAGGGCAACCACCCGCCATCAGGACATGGTCTGTGTCCCCTCTGGCACAACCCCGGGGGTTAGGGACTCTCCGAATCCCCCCCGTTGCCATCCTCCCCGACTCACCTGGACGATGGTGTCCAGGTTTTGCCGGGATGTGGAGACTGTGTTGATGACCGAGGACGGGCCCATGGTGACCACGGTGACGTGATGGGAGGGAGGCGGTGCTGGAACGATCACGGTGGGGTGGTGGGTGGGCGCTGGGGGAGCATGTGATGGCAGGAGCTGGGGAGAGAAGCAAAACCCCCCCGGTGAGCAGGGACCTGAGCAGTGGGGAGAGCATCGCGCTTGTTCACTGAGCCCAAACTCCATAAAAGCTGAAGCATCACTCGGCCGCTCCAGTTCTCCATCCCAATGGACGCAGAGGGATGCCAGCTGAACGCTGCTGCCACCTCAGCTTTGGCAGAGTGGAATGTGAGTATTCCCCGTACCCCAAGAGGGAATGATTTGGGCTTTGAAGTCAGGAGAGGCAAGTGCCAGGCCTCCCTTCACCCTGACCTGCATGGCCAGGAAGCCCCCACACCCCTGGGGATCCTCGCTTGAACAGTGGATGGGAAGACCCGCCCAAGCAGGAGGCTATGTAGAGTTCACCTAAAAATAGGCCGAGCTTTCCCAGGAGGCAGCCGGCAGGGACCCTGTGGGGACATGGCTTCTCAGAAGCCCAAGGAAGGTGGAAGCTGGTGTTCCTCTCTCCTTTTGAAGCTCCCAGAGCGGTGTGGCCATGAGCTGGGCTCAGGGGTGGCAGTGCACAGGTGCCAGCACAGCGCTCACCTTCTCCCTGCACCTTTGGCAAATCCAACTGTGCTGCAGGAAAGGCTGAAGGCTCCCATCCCCACTGCCTGCCCGCTCACTGCTCCCTTTTCCCAGCCTGGTGGGTCACAGGGAGTGGTTTGGGGGTCCCTAAAGCTCAGTGGGAGTCACTCAGTGAGAGGTGAACCCCCAGGGATGAATCCCTGCCCACCGGCAAGCAACCTTCCCTGTACAAAGCCCTCCGTGACGGGGAGCTGAGCTGCTTGGAAACCAACACGGGTGGTCCAAGCCATAGTCCCGCTGTGAAACAACGGGTGCACACAAGTACAGCCCCCTGAGCACTGCAGGGGCTTTGGACCGACCCCTTCCCAATTCTCCAATGGTGTGAGCTTTGCTGGGACATCGCTGCCCACAGGAGGTGCCAAGCCCATCACTAAACTGCCCCAACCTCCTGTATTTCACCACCTGGGGGCATCATGGGTGGGCCACGGGCAGGATGGGCTGGGGTGCACTCACCTGGGTTCGGATCTGCTGCTCACGCTCGAGCTTCTCCTGGTGCAGCAACCTCACCTGCTCCTGCTGCTGCTGGAGCTGCACCTGCTGAGCGATCACCTTCAGCTTCTCGGGGTACATGTGGGCCTCCAGGGAGCGAACCTGCGGGCGAGAGAACCCTGACATCAGTGAGGAGACGGGCACAGCACCCCTGAACCACGGCTGTGGGCTGTGCCCTGCGTGGGGTGGGCCCAGCAGAGCCAGGGAGCCCTGATGGAGCGTGGAGCAGTGGTGGCCAGAGCAGATGTCCCGTGGTCCCGTGGCAGTGCCGGTGTCCCAGGGATCTGCTGGGGCCGTGGCAGAGCCTGCTAGAGGGCACCCAGCCTCACCTGCTCCTCCAGCATCATGCGGACTGAGCGCTCCTTGTCCAGCTGCTGCCGGAGCTCGATCATCTCCCGACGCAGATCCTCGGCCTTCTCATCTTCCCAGATGTCCGGCGAGCCGATCCCCTCGTCTTTGTCCTCCGCCCGTCGCCGTTTCGGGGAGGAACCACTGAATTCCTGCCATGGGAATGTGGTGTTAGGGGACAGGGACCAGCCTGGATGGCCTCCCCACCATCCAGACCACACTCGGGTGATGCCACCCTCCACCACAGCTCCCTGCTGGGAAGGGTCTCTGCAGGGTTGTCCTTGATGCCTGGGGATGGACAGACTCCTGCATCTGCCCCCCATCCTGGTCCTCAACCCCCAGCCTTGTGCCAACCCGGTTCTCACACTGTGATACCCAGAACAGTTCAAGCTGGGCACCCCAGCACCAGAATTGCCACCGGGCTGTACCCCAACACCCCGAATGGAAAGTGGGACCCCAGCCCTTCTCCCCCTGCCAGGTTGAATGGGGCTCCCTGCCCTGCCAGGAGAGTGGAAACATCTCCGTTCCCCGGCTGATTAGGGTAGAGGGTCTTGCCCTGACCCCAAGAAACAGTGATGATGTCCCCTCCCTGGCCAGCTGGGACTGTCCCATCTCCTCCCGTCCCATCCCTGGGGCACTACCTGGATGAACCGCTTGAGCTGGGTGTTCTGCTGCAGCAGCCGAGTCTTTTCCTGCTCCAGGGAGAATATGTACTCGGCTGTCTGCTGAAGGATGGCTGCCTGTGGGAGAGCCAGGAGGGGCATGCTGAGGCAGGAGACCATACTGTCCCCCCAAACCTCCTCTTGTTGAGCTCCCTCCCTGCCTGGGAGGCAGCAGCACTGCTCCATACCCAGCCCCAGCACCTCCCTTCAGGGTCTGCTTCACCCGCAGGTCCCCTCTGGGATTTCCACCACAGCGAAATCCTCCAATTCCATTTCAGGAACCTGCCTGGCCGCCGAGCACCTCCTCAGCCCACTCCCCTCTGCAGCAGGGTCTCCTCCTCACCCAGGCACAATACCCTGCTCCTGGGGCACCGGGGGCTGCCACATGCACTCAGCCACTCCAGGCTGGTGGTGCAAACCCACTCCCACAGGGAAAACACCCCAGGAGAGACCTCGATCACTGAATTAACATATGCAAATATCCCCAATTACACTTTCAGCCCCTCCCCGTGAAGGATCACTGTCTGCACCCCACACCACCACAGCCCCGGCGACATCCTGCTCACCTTGCTGAGCTTCTCCCCGTCCGTGTGTGGGATGAGGGTTTTCAGGGACTGGAAGCCAGCATTGATGCTCTGCATCCGCCGTCTCTCGTTGCTGTTGGCAATTTCCCTGCGTATCCGCCGCTCCTGGTCCCGCTGGGTCTCCGGAGTCAACGGGATGTTGGCCAAGCTGTGAGAGAGATGTGGGGTTAGGGAGGAGGGGGCTGCACCCCTGCTGCCAGCTCACCCCGTTGCGTCCCCCCTTGCTTTGCAATGACGATTCCAGCCATCAAGAGGATTGCCGACGCAGGTGGGTGGGTTTCTCCGGCCCTGTATCCGAAGCTTTGGGGGATGAGTTGACCAAACGGTGGCCCCACTGCAGCCCCCCAGCTCCGATGGGCTCAGACACGCTGCCCAGTGCCAAGCCCGGGCGAGGGGAGCCGGGGACCCCCGGGTGGGTGAGGGAGGCTGCGGGCCGGCCGGCTGTGTCCCCTTGGGGCCGGCCGGCGTGTGTGGCCCTGGGAAGGCGGCTCCCTCCCTCCCGCCCCGCTGATGGCTTCCAGATGACAGCTCCCAGCAGAGAAGCCCCTGTCCCACCCCAAGCCGCAGCTCCTGCCTGCTTCCTGCCGCTGCCTCCGCGCCCCCCACGCCCTTGCCCCGCAGATGTGCAGGGGAATGAATGCCTCCTGGAGCCAGCGATGGCACCGGCGTGGAGGGCTCTGGACAGGCAACACCCGTGGGCCCAGGGCACCCGACCCCAAGCAAAGCCCACCACTGCGGGGTCCAGCTTCTTCACCCACACCCTGCTCCTTCCCCTGGGGAAGTGGGGAGGGGGTTTGGATCACAGGGATGGTGAGCCTGCTGGGCTGTTATACCAGCTGGCCATCCTGCCATGCCAAAGCCACAGGCAGCCACACACCCAGCACCCACTGTCGCCGGGGATGTTGCAAGGCACCAAAGACTAAACACAGGAGCCAGGCTGCTGCCACAAGGAGAGATAAGACGGGCTCCAGTCACCCATCCAGGTGCCCAGTGGCTCCGGGACAGAGATGGGAATATTCCACCCAGAGCCTTGCCAATGCCAGGCTGGGAAGAAAAGCCCGGCATCCTGCCCTCACTGCCCTCCTGGTGAGGCCATGGAGGAACCACAGAGATTTGAAACCCAGGGGTCTAAGTGATACTTGAGGTACCACCGTGTGCTCAGGCAGTGCCTGGAGGCTCCCAGGCAACCCATCATTGCTTGTTGTGACCTGGGAATGCACCACAACTCCTCAAAAATATACAGGGATGGGGAAAGACCCAGATCATCCCAGAGGGGTGGGGAATGATCGTAACTCAGCCCAAGGGGAAGGGAATGGATCCCAGCTCAGGCCAATAAGATAGAGAAGAATCGCAGCTCATCTGAAACAAACAGGGAAGGATCCTAGATTACCCCAGACGGATGGGGAAGGATCCCAGCTCAACCTAGAGGGACAGGGAAAGATCTCAGTGCATCTCAAGGGTATGGGGAAAGGTCCCAGCTCAGCCCATGGGGCCAAGAAGACATTTGTCCCCAGCCTCCAAGGCAGCATCCCAGCACAGGCTGACACTGGGTGTGCCAAGAACCCACCACACTGGTTCCCTCACGTGCAGTTCCCAATGGATGTCCTGGGGTTGTGGATCTGGGATGGGTGCCCAGGGGTCTGCCTCTCTCACTGGGAGCAGCCATCTGTCACATGGACCAAGAGCTGTTTGCAGTGGGATCATGGCACAGGGCTCCCATCTGGTGGTGGCTGTCACCCACCTCCCTGCTCCTGCCGAAACCAGCCCCAAACTTGTTCCTAAAACATGCCAAACCCTGCAGGTCTTGGGGGCAACGTCCCTCGTGGGGATGTGGCCAGAGTGCTGCTCCGGGATGTTGGACCACCAGACACATAAGGGGAACGGGACAGAGAGGCCCAGGACTGGGCAGCACGGAAGCGGCTTCTTAAATACCGGGGAAGGAGGAAGAGCCTGCTTCCTTACCGACAGACCTCCCGCAACCTGCCCCAGCTGCTCTTCCTGGGAAGAGACCTGAGAAACGACAGAGAGATATGGAGAGGGCAAAAATCCATGGATTCAGAAGCCATCCAGGCACCCAGCATGACCAGGGATGGGGCAGGACAGAGGCAGGGGGAACAAGTGGCAGCCACCAGAGCCCCCAGGGCATCCCCAGCCTAGTGCTGGTGCTGTGGGGTTTGGGTCAGGCAAGCAGAATTTGGTCTTTCCCACCCTGGTGAGAACATCCCACATGCCTGGACCTCCAAGGCAACAAACCCACGGGGGGTGTCAGAGCAGGGCACACGTCCCATGGCAGATGTCCCCACTGCCCACTCACATCCACCACTGCCCACGACTGGTGCTGTGGGTTGTGCTGGTGGGCAGAGGAGGCACAGGCATGTGGGCAGGATGTCTCTGAGCTCCCTGGGGTCACAGGTAGGGTGTCCCTGAGCTTGCAGGCAGGGCGTCCCCACGCTTCCATGAAGGGCATCCCCATGCTGACTGAGCTCAGGGTCAGCGTATACCCGAGTGTACAAGCAAGGTATAGGCAATTCCACAGGTAGGATGTCCCCCAGTACCCCAGTTCACAGGCAGGGCATCCCCCAGAACCCTAAGCTTGCAAGCAGGATGTCCCTGAGCTACTTAAGGCCACAGGTAGGATGTCCCTGAGCTCTCAGGCAGGGCAGTCCCCAAGCACCCCAAGCTCCATGCAAGGTGTCATCCAGCACCCTGAGCTCGCAGGTGGGGTGTTCTCCAGCTTCTGGAGCTCCAGGCAGGGCATCTTCTAACACCCCAAGCTTGCAGGCAAGGGGTTCCCCAGCACCCCAGTCTCACAGGCAGGGGGTCTCCCAGCACCCTGAGCTCCACACCGGGTGTCTCAGATCTCGGGGCAGTGGGAAGGCTGCGCAGCTCCCCGAGCTCTGCCCCGTGCCCCCCATCCCCGGGCGGGACAGCCGCATCGCCCTGCCCATGCCGTCACCCCCCCACCCAACCCACAGGCCCGCAGTGAGTAACGCGGGGGACCCCAGCGAAGCCAGCCCCCGCCCCGCGTCCCTGCTCCACCGCTGCACCCCCGGGGGGGAGCTCAGGTGTGGGCACCCCCCGAGATCACCGGGACGGAGCCCCTCATCCCCGTGGGGCAGAGACAGCACCCCGAGGGGCCGGGCCCCCAGCACGTGCCGTGGGGCCCGGGCTGCCCCACAGGGACTTCACGGGGCCGCCGCACGGCGGGGCCGGGCCTGGTGGGGGATCGGAGCCCCCGGGGGGGCTCAAGGCCCGGGGTGCGTGTGGGGAGGGGGAGCTCGGGGCCGCCCCGCGTGGCCCCGGGCCCGCGCCGCCCCCCCCCTCCACCCGCCGCCCCCCGCGGCCCCGCGGGCACGGCCCCCATCCCCGGCCGCCCCTCCGCTCCCCGGGGCTCCCCGCGTGTCCGCGGGCTTTGTGCCGCCGCTCCCGCACTACATGTCCCGGCAGCCCCGGCCGCGACCCGCCTCCTCCGGGCGGCTGCAGAGTCACGGCCAGGCCCGGCGGTAAACACACACCCCCGCGCCCCCCGGGTGCCCGGACCCCCGCGCCCCCCGCCCCGGGCGCCCCCCGCCGCCCCCGCGGGGGCCGGGCCGGGCTGCGGGGCCGGCGCTCCCCGCCCGGGCCACGCGCGGCCGCCGGCCCCATGTGCGCGGCCGGGACCACGTGCGGGCGGTGGGGCCGCGGCGGCCGCGCCGCTCCCCCCGCTCCCCGTGCCCCCCTTCCCCGCCATCCCCCCGCGCCTCCCCCAGCGCCCCCGATCCCGGGGTCTCCCGGCGCCCCCCCACCTGCAGAGCCCGCCGATGACCTCCTTCTCGGATTTCCTGAAGTGCTGCAGGGCCGGCACCTTGGGGGCCGGCACCATGAAGTACTCCATAACGGGGGCGGGGGGCCCGGTTCAGCCCAGCCCGGCTGGTCCCGGCCCGGTTCAGCCCCTCCCGGCCTGGCTCCGGCTTCTGCCCGCGGCCCAAGGCGGGAAACAGCTGGAGCGAGCGCGGCTCCCGCCCGCCGCCGCCGCTCCCCCGCCCGCCCCCGCCCGCCCGGCGCCGCCCCCGCCCCGCACCGGCCCCGCGTAAACAAAGGCGGCGGGAGGGGCCGCAGCGCGGCCGGAGCGGGACCGGGACACGGCGGCAGGACGCGGTGGAACACGGCGGGGTGGGGGGAGACCGGAGCGGCCGGGACGGTACCGACCCGTGCTGGCACTGGCCCGTCACAGCGCGTCCCGTCCTGACCTGGCTCTATCCTATCTTATCGTATCCTGCTCTATCCCTATCCTACTCTATCCTCTCCTATCACCATCCTGTCCCCATCCCATCCCACCTCATCCCACCCGGCCTTGTCTCCATCCAATCTCATCTCGTCCTACCTGACCTGTCCCCATCCCACCCCATACCCATCACATCATATCCTCATCCCATGCTACCTCATCCCATCTCACCCCAGACCTATCCTATTCCATCCTGTCCTATCATACCCTACCTGACACCATCCTGTCCCATCCTGACCTGTCTCCATTCCATCCCACCTCATCCCATCCTGCCCTAGCTCTGTCCCATCCTACCTTATCCTATCCTACCCTATCCTGTCCCATCCTGACCTGTCTTGTCTCCATCCCACCCAGCCCTCAGCACATCCTGTCCTCATCCCATCCTGCCCTAGTCCTATCCTAACCCATCCAATTCTATCCTATCCCATCCTGACCTGTCTTGTCCCCATCACATTCAGCCCTGTGCCCATCCAGTCTTATCCCATCCAATCCTAACCCATCCTACCCTGACCTGACTTGTCCCCATCCCATCTCCATCACTTTCTATCCTCACTCCGTCCTAACTCATCCCATCCTGCCCTAGTCCTATCCTACCTCAGCCCATCCTGACTTGTCTTGTTCCCATCCCATCTCATCCTGTCCCATCCTATCCCCATCCCATCATCTTCCATACTTTCCAACCTCATCTGATCCTGTCCCATTCCATCCCATTCTGTCGTTCCCATCCTATCTTGCCTTATCCTCCTCCTGTCCCCCTCATTTGCCCTATTTCTATCTCTATCTCTATCTCTATCCTATCTCTATCCTATCTCTATCCTATCTCTATCCTATCTCTACCCTATCTCTACCCTATCTCTATCCTGACCTGTCTTGTCCCTATTCCATCCTGTCCTATCCTATCCTGTCACCATCCAATCGTTACCTATATCCAGCTTATGCCACCCCATTCTGCCCTATCCCCATCCCAACTTGTCCCATCCCGTTCTATCTCATCCTATTTCATCCCATCCCATCCTGCCCAATCCCCACCCCACTCTGTCCTATCCTACCCCATCCTGGCCTGTCCCAGCCTGTTCTACCTCACCTGATCCCATCGCCATCCCACCCCATCCCCATTCCTATTCCTGTCTCCACCAGGCTGTGGGAGGGCTCAGGGAGCTGCCAGGGGCTGGGTGGGGGGGGCATCGCAGCAGCCTTGGGGCTCAGGGGCTTGGGGGTGACAGGGGTCATGTGTCTGGCAGGGGGCTTTTGGGGGGAGGGGGGGCTCTGGGGGCTGGTGGGGGCAGTCAGGGGCTGGGGGGGGGCTTGAGGAGCTGATGGGAGGGTCTGAGGGCTGGCAGAGGCTGTGGGGGCTGGCAGGGGGGCACAGGCCTTGCGGGGGGGTTTGGGGGCTAGCAGGGGCACGGGGCTCACACCAGCATTGAGGTTCAGGGGTTAAGGGGTGACAGGGGTCATATGGCTGGCAGGAGGCTTTGGGAGGCCTCTGGGGGGCTGCAGGGGGGCTCTGGGGGCTGATGAGGGTCTCTGTGGCTGGCAGGGGGCTTGGAAGCTGATGGGGGGTCTGGGGGGATGACAGATGCCATGGGGGGCTGGCAGGAGGGTCTGGGGCTGGCAGGGGAACACAGAACTGGCAGGGCCATGGGGGTCTGGCAGGGGGGCACAGGGCTATCAGGAGGGTCTGGGAGCTGACAGGGGGCACAGGGCTGGCAGGGGTCATGAGGGGCTGGCAGGGGTCATGTGGTATCTGAGGGACCTGCCTGTGGGGTCAGGGCCATCAGAGCAGGGACAACAGGGGGGCCAGGGGGTGGCCTGTCACCTGGAGGGGCAGGACCCGGCCCTGCAGAGCAGGGTGGGCTCAGCTCTGCCTCTCAAGTGCCCCCCGGCCCGGCCCTACCGGGAGCTGCAAGACAGGTTCTGCCGGGCTGTCCCCTGGGCCCCCTGCCCTGTCCCCTGCGAGGGCCCCACTGCGGGGGCTGCACATCCCCCCACGGCACAGGGACCACCGTGAACCCCCCGTTTTGTAGTGGGACTGTTAGGGACACAACAGCTCCTCCCCCGCAAAAAAAACCACGGGTAGGGTGGGATTTCTGTCACCTGCGTGGGACAGTGCTGCCCTCCCGTGTCTCCCCCCACTCGTGGCAGGGATGTAGGGGACACAGCAGCTCCCTCTGCCTCCCCCCAGAAAAACCCCAAACCACGGGTAGGATGTGGCTTCAGCCACTAGGATGGGTCAGGTCTGCTCCCCAGTTCGTGTCCCCCTTCTGGGGTGTGGACGCTGGGGACACAGCAGTGCCCCTCCCAAAAAAACACCAAACCACGTGTGTGGTTTGACTTCAGCCGCCCGCGGGGGAAAATTCTGCCTCCCACTCGCGTCCGACCTTTTGGGGTGGGGCTGTTGGGGAAACAGCAGCTTTCTCTCCACCAAAAACCCGTGTGGGACAGTGCAGCCCTCCCGTGACACCCCCCCTCCCTTTCCTAATGGCCTGTTGGGGACACAGCAGCCCCCCCCCCCGCAAAGAAAAACCACGGGTGGGGTGTGACTTCTGCCCCCCGCGTGGGGCAGTGCTGTCTCCCACTCGTGCGCCTCTTGTTATACAGCAGGACTGCTGGGGACACCGCAGATCTCCCCGCCAAACAAAAAACCCGCCTGGGGGCAAGGGTTTTCCCCCCCCCATTTTGGGTGGGGGGGCCCTTGGGGACGCCGCAGCTGCATTCCCTCCCTCAAAACAAAATCACGGGTGGGGTGTGACCAGCCACCCGCGTGGGCCCCGGGGGAGGGACCCCCCCCGGCGAGGCTGCAGCATCCGGGCCGGCCCCGCCACATCCTGCCGCCGGAAGGAGCCGCGGCCCCGGGACAACCCCCCGCCGGTGACGTCATGCGGGGGCCCCCGCCAGGCGTGACGCCAGCCTCGCTCTGTGACGTCACGCGGCGGGCGGGCGGCGCCGCTCCTGCAGGGAGGGGGATCCCCCCACCCCCTTTTTCCCCGGTGTGACCCCCCCCCTTTCCCCCCTCGAGCCGCCCCGGCGCGGGGTGGGGGCTCCGGGGGGTGCCGCCCCCCCGCCCCGCCACGTCCCCGGTGGGGACACGGACACGCGGGGGGGGGGTCGGCTTTGCCGCAGCGCCGGGGTGACCTTGTGCGGGGGGGTGGCGGGTGTCCCCCCGCGGGTCCCCCCCGGGGCGGGGCTCGGTGCCCCCCAGTGCCCCCCGCGGAGGCGGGGAGGGGCCGCCGCCGCCCCCGCCCCCGCCCAGCGCCGCCCGCAGCCGGGGCCGGGCCGCTCGGTGCGGGGCGGCCATAAATCACGGCGGGCAGAGCCCCCGCCCCGCCGCCGCCCCCGGGACCGGGCAGGGGGGGCCCAGCCCCGCCGCCGCCACCCCCGCCCCCAGCCCCTGCGGATGTGGCGGAGCGGCTCGGCCGCCCCGCACCGGCCCCGGCACCGGCCCCGGGGGGCCCCGCTCCGCCGAGCCCCGCACCCCGCCCCGCTCCCCGCCTGGCTCTGAGCCCCCACCGCAGGTACGATCGCGCTCCGGGCGCCGCGGAGGGGAGGAGGATGAGGATGATGAGGATGCTGCCACCGCCGGGGGAGGGGGAACCCTCCGGGGAGCCCCTTCCTCGCCACCCCGTGGGGTGTGGGGGGTCTCTTGGCACCTGCAGCCCCCCCGCCCTGGGAGCGGGTCGGGAGGGGACGTGGCCCCGCTGCACCCCCGGGGAGGTGAGGAGAGGGGACCCGCTGCTGCCCGGTGGGTGCCAGGGGGGGTGGCCGTTACCCGCTGTCCCCCCGCACCCCGGGCGGGTGTCCTGACCTTGGCCGTGGGGCGGGGGCTGCGGCGGGGACGTGTTGGGTGCCTCTGCCCGGCTGCGGCCACTCCCGGGGACACACCAGTGTCCCCACGGTGCGGGGAGGGCGAAGGGTTGGTATCGGGTGGGGGGCACAGGGCGGCCCCATCGCGGTCCCACCCTGACGGTGCCACCGCCGAGCAGCCACCCGTCACCTCCGTCCTCTTCGCGGGGTACACCTGGTCCCAGTCATGGAAGGTGACAGTCCCCATCACGGGGGGTGACGGCCTCGTGGGGCTGAGTTGTGGGGTGGCCAAGCCCAGGCTGTGCCGTTGAGGGGGGTTTTGGGAACTAGGTTGGGGTGACCCGCCTCCCTGAGGTGCCAGCAGCAGGGACCAGAAATTGTCCCCAGTGTCCCTGGGCACTGCTGCAGGGACTCGTTCCCTGCCCAGCATGGAGAAACCCTGCTGCTAGTGGCCACCTCCTCTTCTCCATGCCTTTGTCACCCTGCTGTTACCACCCCCACCCTCCCAGCCAGGGTCCCCGGGTCCCCCCATCCCCGCGCTGCTGCCGCACCCAGGGTGCTGATTTGCTGGGCACTGGGGACCACCCTGCTCCTGTCCCCGCGTGCTCCAGCCGTGTCCCCAGGCAGAGGTAGCAGGGTCCTTGCTGCTGGTGGCACTGCTGTGGGGCTGCTCCCCGGAGGGTGGGTGGTGTCAGCCCCTTGCCAGGATCCCCACGACCTCCACATGCCTGGGAAGGGGGGACCATGGCACTGGCCTCGGCTTGGGGACTGCAACTCCAACCGTGGCCACTCCTGGGGAAAGCTTTGGGGGCTGCCATCAGCCCAGATGGCAGGGGGGGACGGGTTCTGGGGACCACAGTGACAAGCTGGAGCCACCAGCAGGATGTGACCTCCCCCAGCCCCGGCGGGCACTGGCGGGCTCCAGCGAGGAGTGGCAGTGCCAGCACCATCTGCAGTGGGACAAGGAGGGATGGCGAGTCCCACGGTGGCAGCCGTGGGGACAATGACCCACATCCTGCCAACCCACCCACGCTGCCCCGGCACGGGGGGCTTCGGGAGCTGCCTCTCGTCGCGGCGGTGCCAGTCTGCCGCTGCCAAGTGCCACGGCGGCGGGGACCGAGCCTTGCCTGCAGCGCTGGCGCCGTTCCCACTCCCCGAGCCCCAGGGTCACCGTCCCCTGGCCGCGGCACTGGCATCCCTCGCCGCCGCCATCCCCGAGCCCACTGCGCTGCGGGAGCCTCTGCCCCGCGGCCCTTCTGTGCTATTCCTGGCGGGTTTGGGGCTGGGGGAGACACACGACACCCCGGCAATGCCAGCAGCCTGGAGACCTGGCACCCCGCCGGCTGCACCAGGGTCACCCCGGGTCCCCCAGCCGTGCCGGCGGCCGGGCAGTGTGGGGGGCCCAGGGGACCCCAGCCCGGCCAGCAGAGATGGGGGGACTCCCCCCACGCCTGGGCTCCATCCCAACGGCCCCCACCCGGACTGGGAAGCCCCTGGGCCCAGCGCCGCGCCGGACTGGTTTGAACTGGTGTGGCGGGGGGGAAGCTGGGAACTGGGCTGGGGCTGGGCTGGCAGCGCCTGGCGCGGGCAGGAGAGGCCGTGGGGGGAGAGCAGGCAGGAGCGGCCAGGGGCCGCGCGCGGGGGCCGCAGGTGCCGGGGCGTCCGGCCAAGCCACCCTAGGGCTCGTCCCCGTCCCCATCCCGGCGAGGCCCCCGCGGCGCCCCGTTTCCCGAGGCCGCGTGGTTTGGCAGCTGCCTGCCCGCCCGCCCGCGGCCGCGCTGGGAGCCCTGGCGTCAGCGGCTGGAGGCCCCTTTCCCACCCGTCCCGCCCGGGGATGGCTGCCGTCCCCACCCAGCACCGCCCGCGCCGGGACCCCCCAAACTCCCAGCCCAGAGGACGTGGGGACGCGGCCGCCACGGTGAGACCAGCCCTGATGTCTTGCCTGGCCCCACTGTGGGACCCCCATCGCTGGAGGGCTGCCAGCGCCCTGTCCCACTCCCTCGGCTGGGGGTTCCACTGTGACACCCCAGCTGTGGTGCAGCCCCCCCGCCATCTGTCCGTCTGTCCTCGAGCTGTGCCACCAGGCTGTGGGGCACATGGGAAGCCGCTGTAGCCTGAAAACCGTGGGGGGGCTCAGGGTGGGGACACCCCATGGGCAGGTCCCGCAGTGGGGCTCAGGCTGAAGACCCCCAGAGTGCAGGGACCCCACTCTGGGGCGAGCCCCGTGGCCGGAGGGGCTCAGGAGGGTGTCCCTGCCCCAGGGGACGGGTCAGCCTCCACAGCGGTGGGAGGAGGCGGATGCTTAGGCAGGGACCCCCCACTGGAGAGGAGGGACCCCGCTATGGGGCCGGGGGGTGGGGGCTCAGCGATGCGAGGCTGTGGGGCGGCTCCTCCCTCCGTGGGAGCCTGGGACAGGAACCCCCCCTGGGGCCGGCCCCTCAGCCAGCACGGGGGTGCAGGCAAGGGGTCCCCCGCCCCGCCACCCGGGCCCCATGCCCCCCGCGGCTCCTCCGCATTCCTCAGCGTCTGAGCCGGGCTGGACCCCCGCCAGCGCGGGGGGCCCCTCCGGCGGGGCAGGGCGGGGGACGGGCCCCCCGGGGCGGGGTGGGGATGGAGGGGGGGGCCCCCGCTGCCACGTGTGCTGGGTGCGCCGTGCCCCCCGACACGGCCCCTCGGCCGCCCCCACCCTGCCCTGGGCGATGCGGGTGGCCGCGGGGGCACAGCCGGGGGACCGCAGGGGCTCTGGCTGGGCGCTCACTGCTGCACCGAGCTGCCCGGTTCTCAGCTGCCTGCCAGATGTGTGGCGGCCGAGCCACGAGGGTGGCATTGTGTTGTGCCATTCCATGCCGTTCCATGCCACGCCGTGCGGCCGGCAGCCCCTGCCCGGCCCCGGCAGCAGCGGCGTTGGCCAGCGGGGAAGGGGCCCCGACGGGGGAGGAAGCTCTGCCGCCTCCGGGGCTGGGGCCAGCGGGCTCGGCTGCCCGGGTCACCGCCGGGCTGGTGGCCGCCACCGCCCTCCTCTGCCTCTGGGAAAGGCCTCGCTGGGGCAGGCCCGCGGGGACGGACGGATGGATGGATGGACGGACGGGCCGGGGGGGCAGAATGGGGACACCGCGGCTCCCGCGCCGCGGGTGCTCGGGGGATTTGGCAATCCCCGGCAGGGTTTGGTCATGGGCCAAGGGGCTGTGCCGGCGACTCGAAGAGGACATGCTGGGGACACCGAGGGGCCGGGGGTTGGGCCCAGTGCCATGCGCTGCCCTTTGCCCGCTGCGGGAGGGGGCCGCTGCAGGGTGGCTGGAAGGGACGGCTCAGTCTCTGTGCCAGCACCGTGGCCTCCGGACCGGGGCAGAGCTGGGCATCGCCATGGGGCCGGGCTGGGGCGATGCTCCGGGTGGCATTGGTGCCCCCCACCCCTGCGGTGACCCCCGGCTGTCCCCCGCAGAGTCCACCCCGGCACCATGCATTCCCTGGAGGAGCCCCTGGACCTCAAGCTGAGCATCTCCAAGCTGCGAGCTGCCCGGGAGAAGCGTGGTCCCTCCGGGCCCCGACCCCGCGCTCCCCAGCGCCCGGACACCCCGCCGGTCGGGGATGGCCGAGGGGGCGGCCGAGGGGGTCGCCGTGCTGTGCCAGCCTCGCCGTCCCCCGGGCTCCTGGCACACTCCAGGCTGGTGGAGCCGCGGGATGGGCGCTTCCCGGCTGCCGTGCCGGTGGTGGACCTCAGCCTCTCACCCCGCTCCGGGGGGGAGTCTCCGGCTGGCAGCGCTTCGCTGTCCCCTGAGCGCCAGGGCAGCGGGGACCTGCCCGGCCCCCTCACCCCCCACGTAAGTACGGCCGTGACCCCCCGCGAGGTGTCCCAGCCATGGGACTGTGCCCAGACGGCGTTCCCAGCCTCGGCAGGGTGCCCAGTGCTGCCGGTGTACACACACCCTGGGGTCAATGTCCTGCCCGCCATCCCCTCTTGCCCCCTGACTCCAGTGGCATCCCCAGGGTGCCTCCTGGAAGCTCTCTCATGGGGTATCTGTGAGGTTTTGGGGTCCCTGGGGTGGGGGAGTGGGAGGCTTAGGGGGGGTTCTGGGGAGCATGGGGGGATCTCTGGGGGGCTATGGGGGATCTTTCAGCATCTCTGGGAGGCTTTGGGGTCTCAGGGGGTCTGGGGGGATCTCTGGGGATCTCTCTGTAGGGTTCTGGGGTCTCCTGGAGTCTCTATCCAGCTTGGCCCCATCCCTACCGACTCCTCATCTGGGCTCTGCTCCAGGATTTCCAGTCCCTGCGCTACATCGACGGCCTCCCCAGCTCCTTCCAGTTCTTCCTGCCACTGGGGGCTGGGGGGGCCCTGCATCTGCCCCCCACTGCCTTCCTGCCCCCCAGCAAGGAGAAACGCCTCGCCCCTGAGCTGCCCCTGCCCAAGCAGCTCATCTGCCGCTGGTCCAAGGTCAGCAGGAAGGGATGGGGGGGACCATGGAGGGTTGTGGGGCTGGTGGGGTGTGTGGAAGCTTTGAGGTGGGGCTGGAAGGCCATGGCAGAGCTCTGTGGGACTGGGGGTGAGGTTGGGGGCTGGAGGGCCGTTCAGGGACAATGTAGGACTGGAGGGGGAGTCATGGGTAACTGGAGGCTTTGCAGGGGGATACAAGGCTGGGGTGGTCATGCAAAGGGCCATTTCCATCTCCCCAAATGCCGGTCCTGCTGTGCATGTGGTCTGGGTGGGAGCTGGAGTGGGATGGGGAGCAGGGGCTGGCCCTGCTGGGGGTCCTGGCCACCCCCGGTGCCCACCCCACCAGGCCTCTTCACCCCTAGCCTTCTGCCCACAGTGTAACCAGTTCTTTGACCTCCTGCAAGACCTTGTGGACCATGTCAATGACTTCCATGTCAAACCCGAGAAGGATGCAGGGTACTGCTGCCACTGGGAGGGCTGTGCCCGCCATGGCAGGGGCTTCAATGCCAGGTGGGCATGGGCGGCTCTGGGAGATCTCTGGGTCCCTGGGGGGGTGCTATGGGAGGCAGGAGCCCAGCACTGGGCCTGTGCAGGGGGAGTGTCCATCACTCCTTCCCTCCACTCATCCCTCCCTCCCTCCCCTCATCCCTCCCTTCCTCCCTCCTTCCCTTCCTCTGGTGCAGGGTGTGAGGTCCTGGCAGGCTGGATGACCGTGCTGGCCTGGATGTCCCTGTTCCCACACCCCATAGCCAGGGTACGGGGACAAGGACATGCCCTGGAAGTCAGGGCTGACCCCCTCCCTGACATTCCCTTACTGATACTTCCACAGGCAGACAGTGATAGATCAAGGGGAAATGGTTTCAAACTAAAAGAGGAGAGATTTAGATTAGATCTTGAAGAAATCCTTCCCTGTGGGGGTGGGGAGGCCCTGGCACAGGTTGCCCAGAGAAGCTGTGGCTGCCCCATCCCTGGAAGTGTCCAGGGCCAGGTTGGATGGGGCTTGGAGCAACCTGGGCTGGTGGAAGGTGTCCCTGCCCACAGCAGGTGTGTTGGGATGAGATGAGCTTTAAGCTCCCTTTCAGCTCAAACCATTCCATGATTCTGTGATTCCCCTGATCCTGGCAGGTACAAGATGCTGATCCACATCCGGACGCACACCAATGAGAAGCCACACCGCTGCCCCACCTGCAACAAGAGCTTCTCCCGCCTGGAGAACCTGAAAATCCACAACCGCTCGCACACAGGTCAGTGCAGCCCCCGCACCACGCTCACCGGGGGAGCAGCGGGGCCTGGGGGGACACAGGGGACCCAGCAGGGCTGGTGCCCCCCGGCAGACCCGGTGCTGTCCCGCAGGTGAGAAGCCCTACATCTGCCCCTACGAAGGCTGCAACAAGCGTTACTCCAACTCCAGCGACCGCTTCAAGCACACCCGCACCCACTACGTGGAGAAGCCCTACTCCTGCAAGATGCCGGGCTGCCACAAGCGCTACACTGACCCCAGCTCCCTCCGCAAGCACATCAAAGCCCACGGGCATTTTGTGTCCCCCGAGCACCCAGAGATGCTCAAGGTCCATCCGCCTCCCAAAACGCCCCTGGGCTCGCCAGAGGTGCCCTATGTTAACGGGGCACAGCTCGTCATCCCCAACCCCGCCGCCCTCTTCGCCCCCCCAGGGCTGCCGGCGCTGCCCATCCCTTTGGCACCGGCACCTCTCGACCTCAGCGCCCTGGGCTGCGGGGCTGCGGGTACCCTGCCCGCCCTGCCCGGCCCCGTCCTGCCCCTCAATGGCGGTCCTCTGAACTTGGCCAAGAGCCCGCTGCTGCCCTCGCCCTTCACAGCGGGGCTGGGGCTGCCTGTCATGTCGCTGCTGGCCGGCGGGGCCAAGGCTGAGGGGGAGAAGGGCAGCGGGGCTGAGGGGCGGCCTCCCAAGGCAGGCAAGGGGTCGGACACCCGGAAGGAGAGGGGCGAAAGGACGGAGCCGGGGCGGTCGCGGGTGCTCCCTGAGAGCCTGGCACTGCTGCCGGGGGCTGTGCTCGACCTCTCAGCCGGTGTCAGCTCGGGGGGCAGCCCCGAGGCACTGCCCCCTGGCTGGGTGCTCATCCCCCCCGGCTCCCTGCTGCTCAAACCCGCCGCAGTCAACTGAGGGGCTCGACGATGCCCAGGGCCAGCCCGCCGGCCCTGTGGGCAGATCCTGCTCCCTGGGGACGGAGGGGCATCGCCTCCTCCTCCCCCCTGCAGCCCCAGCGGGGCCTCGCTCGTGCTTTTAACTGTCACGAAAGAAGAACGGACTCTTCTGAGAAAAGCAATAATCCCTCGGCGGCCAGAGCCGGCTGCAACCCTTCGCTGGGGGCAGCTGGGGGCACAAGGGGAACCCCCTGCCCTCTCGGGCCTGGACAGCCGGATACGCCGCTATTTATTTCTTGACCAGCCCCTTGCTCTGACAGGGCCCTGCTTGGGCTCTCCTGCTTCTGCTGACACGGCGTCTCCCTGCCCGAAGCCTTGGCGCTGCCGTGGGGGGCCGCAGCCCCCCGGCCTCCGCCGCACAGACAGCGGGGTGACAGCTTGGGGACCGCCTGCTCCCGCCGCCCTGAGCTGTGCCCAGCCGTGCCATCCCACCCCGCACGGCTGGCATGGCCACGGGCAGTGCCGCAGCCATGGCCCCTCGTGCCGGGCCCAGCTGGCTGGGCACACGCCGGCCTGGCGCCCGCCCACACCCTCCCGCCGCCTCCCCGGCCCTCCCGTGACAAGGCACACGGCCGCGTGTGCCGCTCGCCGCGCCGGCTCCGCGCCGGGCACAGACCCCTCTAGCTACGTTCATACCTAACCACGCACCGTGAGCGCATGCGGGCGGCGCGGGCACGGCTCTGGGCACCGCCGGCACCGGCTGGCGGGGCACCCGCTCCTCGGGATGCACCGGTGGGATGCTCCCAGGTGGGCCCCCAGCCACAGGGCAGTGGTGGGGCGGGCAGCGTGCCCAGCCTCAGCGTGGGCACAGCTCAAAGCCTCTCCTGGGGGTCATATGTACGTCCCACTGCTTGGCAGGACCCCCACCCACGTCCCGCTCCGAACCGTGGGGGTCTCCCCAGTGCTGCCCCTCCATGCTGAGGAGCCCCGGCCACGCGTGCCCCGCAGGGAGCCGGTCTCCCTGCTCTCACCGGCGGCCGCCCGGCGCTGCCCCAGCCCAGCATGGCCGCGGGCCATCGACCAGGCCACCCCGGCCGGTGTAACGTCTCCTTGCTCCTCGTCGGTTTGTTGTTGCACATTCCAGGACATCAGTATTTTAACGGTCTCGAAGTGCCTTTCTATCGTAGTTTCTGGGTTGTTTTTATTTTCCTCCTGTTGGGCTCCATCGCTGTTAGCGTAGCGTGTAAGGACTGCACAAGTACGAGATAAGCTAACAACTGTAACACTATATTCGTCCAGGGGAGAGGAAGTTTATTAAGAAAACAATAAAGTTGAAGTAAGTTCCTGTTTCAATGCCGCGGCTGTGGTGACAGCAGTGAGGAGCCCATGCTGGGGGCAGAGGAGTGCTGGAGGGGGTGGGTGTGACCTGGGGAGGGAACAGCTGGCTGTGACTGACCCCTGGCTGTGTCCCCACACTCCTGCTCAGGGAGCCTTGGCACCAGTGAAACCCTGCAGCAGGATGAGCTGCAGGTGGGGACAGCCACAGCGTGTGTCCCCCCCTCAACCCAGCAGTCATCCACGGTGGGAGAAGGGTAATGGCACAGCACCCCTGGGGTATGGAGCCAGGGGTATCTGTGTACTCAGTCCAAGAGCATCCAACCCCGCCCAAAAATAGCTCCCACAGCCTCCCCCAGTGCCATTTGAGCCCTGGCAGCCCTCGATGCCCCAAGGACACCCCTTCTTCCCCAGCTGCCTCCCTCCTCCTTGTCCCCAGGGCAGGGGCTGATCCCTCGGGGGCAGCAGTGGGCAAGTCCCTGCTCCCTCCCTGGGCACGGAGCAGCCAGGCCAGGTGCTGGAGGACACGGTGTTTATTGGCCACCTATAAGTTAAGGGTGAGAGGGACGCGGGGTTCAGGGGTGGCGGGAGTCACGTCTCAGCTTTCCGCTCCTTCTCCTTGTCGCCCTTGGCCTGGATGCGGAGCTCCTCGTCCAGCCGCTCCTTGGCTCTCACCACCTGTGGACACGGGGTGACACAGAGGGATGGGGTGACACCTCCCCTCACTGCCTCACCCACAGGGGTGCTCGGGCTCTGCCTGTCCTGAATCCCAGGCAGGGGAAGGTGCCCACACAGGCGCAGCCCCCGCTGCTCCCTCGCTCACCTTGGACTGCAGGTAGAAGGAGCCTCCCACAGACTTGTCGTTCACCTTGAACAAGTGGTCGTAGTTCTGCCGAGAGAAGCTCCGGCTCAGATTCATCTCCACCTTCCCCATTCCCAAACCCTGGGGGCCTCCCGCTCCCTGCAGCATTGCTGGAGGTTACAGGTGTGATCCTGGGGACATGTTTGCTCTGCCTGACTCCACTGTGAGTTCCCACATTCCCGGTCAGGCACCTCCAGGGATCCCACATCCCCTTTCCTGAGCAGCCCCACTGGGCAGATGCAGAGGCCAAGCCCCGAGGGTTGCTCCAGCTGGGGCAAGGAATCCTCCAACTGGGATTAACTGGGCCCAGGACAGCACTGGGGAACAGCTGTCACCCCCATGCCAGGCAGCACCCTCAAGGCAGACAGGGCCCTCCCTCCCTCTCTCCCCGACTCTGAGGGGCCCTCTACCTTCTGGATCTCCTCAGGGTTGAGGCTGGAGACGTTGAGGATCTGCTGAGCTTCCTGGAGGCTGATGCCAATGATCCTGGAGGCAGCAGCAGACTGGGGCCTCTCGGAGCGTCCTCGTGCATCGGCTGCTGCCCGGCTCGCTGCTGGAGACACCCAGGCCATGAGACCCCCACACTGATCCCCGTGACCCCCAGGCCTTCGAGGGGGTCAGGCAGCAAAGCCCTTAGGCTCTGAGGTGCTCAGAGCCCAGTGTCCCCCTCTGCCCCCCTCCAGTCGCCCCTGGATGTGATCCCAGTGCTGGGGATGTGTCAGGGGCTGGGGGAGCACTGTTTACTGCAGGCAGGGCAGGGTTGGGGCTCTCCTGTCCCAGGGATTATCCTGTTGTGCCCTTTGGGGTGCTGGGATCTCTGGGAGCCTGGCAGTGGTGCCAGAGCCAGGCTGGAGCCTGGGAAGGCTGCTGGGAGCCTGGGTTGAGATGAACACCATCAGGCCAGTGCTGGGAGGCGGGTGAGGACTGTCACCCTGTGACAGCCTGGCAGGTGTCCTCTGCGGGCAGACTGTGGGCACGGGGAGCACTGGGGATCCTGGGGAAGGGTGGGGGTGCAGAGCAGAGCCGGGGCAGGGCAGTGTGGGCACACGGAGCACTTGGAGCAGTATACCAGCTCCTACCTGCGAACTCCTGGCGCAGCGCCCGCATGAAGGCCCGTCCCACCACCTGGGCCCCCACCAGGATGATCTGTGCCAGGTACTTGGCCTGCGGGGACACCCTGCTGTCACAGCCACCACGGGGCCCCATCCCCACACAGGTCCTTCACCCTGTCACCTCTCCCTGTCTCCTGGGGCTTTACCCTACCCATCCCTGGCCCTGTCCCCCCTTCCCCGTCCCTGTCCCCCCTTCCCCGGCCCTGTGACCCCCTCCCTAGGCCCTGTCACCTCTCCATTGGCCCTGTCCCCCTTCCCGTGTTCTCCCTTCCTCTGCCCTGTCCGCCCCCTCTCCCCCTCCCCAGGCCCTGTCACTCCTCCCGTGTCCTGTCCCCCCTCTCCTGTCCCTGCTCCCCCTCCCCAGGCCCTGTCACTCCTCCCGTGTCCTGTCCCCCATCCCATGGTCCTGTCCGCTCTCCCCTGTCTCTGCCCCCCCAGATCCAGCTCCCTCGCACACCCGCGGGCCCGCTGCCCGTCCCCGGACCCTGCCCAGCCCCAACCCCGCCGTCCCCCCGCCCTGTCCCCTCTCACCATGTCCCCACCGCCTCTTCCGCCCCCGGCGGTCACGTGGCCGGGGGCGAAGGTCACAGCGGGCACCGAGACGGCGGCGGCGCGGGGCGGAGCGTCCCCTCGGCGGGCTCAGCGCCCCCTGGCGGCCGCGCCGCGCGGGAGGTCCGGGCAGTGGCAGGCGGGTGGGGCGCGACTTCCCTCCGCCCCCGGTCCCCGTGTCCCTCCCGATGCCGGTCCCTGTGAACCGCCTCTCCTTGTGTCACCCCGGTGCAGGTCCTTCTGGTCCCCCCGGTGCCGCACCCTGTGTCTCCTCGGTCCCTGTGCCCCCCGGCGCCGGTCTCCGTGTCCCCCCCGTACCCGTGTCCTACCGGTGCCTGTCCCTGTGTCCGCCGCACTCCCAGTGTCCCCCCGGGGCCAGTTCCTCTGTCCCCCAACCCCCAGTCCTTGTGTCCTCCCGGCCACGGTGTCCCCCCGCTGTCGGTCCCTGTCCCCCACCCCGCCTCTGTGTCCCCCCCGGCTCCACTCCCTGTGTCCCCTCCAGGGCCGGTCCCTGTGTCCCCACTGTCCCGGTGCCCCCCCGGTCCCCGTGTTCCCTCCGCCCCGGTGTCTCCCCCCGGTGCTCCGCGCGGTGTCCCGGGATCACGGCAGGACGCGGTGCTGGTGCAGCGGCTTTAATAGCGGGTCCTGCCCGCGGCAGGCCCTGCACATCCTGCTCCTCCTCCTTCTCCTCCTCTCTCTCCTCTCGGTTCCCCCGCCGGCCCTGCGGGTGCGGGGTTTGCCGGGTGGTCCTTGGGGTGCCGGGTCCAGCCTAGTCCTGCGGGACACTCGTTGTGGGTGAGGGGCATGGCGGGGTCTGATGGGACCCGACGGGGGTCGTGTCTCCCCTCCCAAGACCCTGCACTTACCCACTCGTCCTCATCCACCCCCTCGAAGGAGTCCTGGGGCAGCGGGTCATCTCGGTTGCCCAGCCGGGCCACCATGGCACTCAGGAGCTGTGGGGAGGCCCGGCAGAGCCGTGGGGTGAGGGACATCGCCCCCAGCCCCCACTGCAGGGCGGTCGCCCCACCCCAGCACCCACCTCCTCCTTCTTCTGCTCGTCCGACTTCTCCTCCAGGTACACGGATGCAGGGACGAACTTCCGAGCCGGAGCCTCTTTTGGGGCCTCGCTCACTGGGAGAGCGGCATAACCGTGGGGCAGGAGGGCTTCGCCCCGTGGCTGACACCCCCCATACCATCCCCGTGGGCTGGGGGTCCTGCCCTGCCCCTCACCCACCTGGCACCATGCCGGCCGGGCACAGGCTGGCGCGGCGCTGCTGCCCGTCCTGCCCCGCCAGCCACGCACCGGCACCCAGGGCCGGCTCCCACCAGACACGGGTCGGCGGGAAGAGGTCGTCCTGGAAATACTCCTTCTGTGGGGGCAAGTGATGTTGAGGGGGGTCCCCTGCCTCTGTCCCCATCCCAGAACACAGCCAGCCTCCCCCTTACCCCCCACCTACCTTGACACGTGGCACGTGGAAAGCCACGGGCTCCAGGGTGCTCTGCCCCAGGCGCAGTGCACGGGCGAACTCCACCTCCCGCACCTCACACGTCGTTTTGGGCAGGAAGACAAAGCCCTGGTGGGGTGGGGGCATGAGCGGG